CAGCAGTAGAAAGGCTTCCTTTTCCCCCGGTTTCTCCAGCATTTGTTATTAGTTGCTTTCTTAATGATAGCCATTCTTTCTGGGACAGGATGGAAGTGTTGTTTCAATTTGCCTTTCTCGAATGACCAATGTTCTTGAACTTTTTTTCTTTTTTTTTTTTGCTGTTTGTATTTCTTCCTTTGAGAAATGTGTATTCATCTCAGATGCCCATTTTTGGATGGGATCTTTAAGCCTGGGGGAAAGTCTGCTTGACTTCAGTTCTTTGTAACATCTCCAAGACGTTAATCGTTTGCCTGAGGGACAACTGGCTAAATTTTTTCTCCACTGTGTGGGTTATCTTTTCACTGTATTAGTAAATTTTTTTGCTGTGCAAAAGCTTTTTAATAAGATGAGATTTTTATTAAATCTCAGTTGTTAATTCTTTCTAGTATTTTCTGATTAACCTGAGTTGCATTCATGAAATTTCTTCCTATACCTGTGTCTTCAAAAGACTTACCTGTTCTGTCTTCCAGCAGACTTAGTGTTTCTGTTTTAGCATTTAGATCTTTGATCTATTTTGATCTTAGTTTAGTGCCTGGGAAAGGCATGGGTCTCGTTTTAGTTGCTGGCATGTAGAAAGTTAGTCTTCCCAGCCCCACGTATTTAAGAGACTGCCTTTCTTCCAGGGAGCTGGGAAGAGGCAGAAGGAAGAGCCAGTGCTCCACAGTGTCTCTGGGATGGAGCCTCGAGATAGAGGCTGTGACTTTGTGCTTGAAAGATCACACATCAGAGCTGAAGCACTGACCCCAAAACATTAGATACAATCTCACTTGTGTGTTGCACGTTTCTCTGTCTGCAGATCCTTCTCTCTGCATATTGCAGAGGTGAATGCAGGCCTCCTGCCCAGCCCAGCTCACCTACTTCCCGCCATTCTCACAGTCACTCATCCTCAGGCCAGTCTTTTCTCCATGCATGAATAAAATCTGGGTTCGGGTCCTGGGTAAAGGCCGTTATTCATTGTGGCGGGACTCAGGACCTCCTCAACTCTATGTTATTTTGGATATGGTATTGTGTTCTTACTTTTACCATGGGTTGTACTGGAAGTATTGTGGATCTAAATGCTAGATCAGAATTAACTCATTATAATTCCAATGCATTTTTCCATGGGGTTACAGATATAAAGTTCATGGGCCACAGTGAGGACTGAAAAGAGCCCTCTATATCTCTGGCCTTTCTTGTGAAGAAAAGATACATCTTCTTGGAATATAGCAGTGGTAACAAAGAAAACAGTGATAGTAAAAGTCATCCAGGAGAAGTAGAAGCCAAAAGTTCCTAGGAGTTTTACTTGGAAATAGGATCATTCATATACTGAGTTGGATTTTGTACCTGTGATTAATGGGTGACATCCCAGACACAGTGTGAATTATTTTTAGAGATGCAGTTGTTAATAAAGCATTGAAGCCATCAAAATTTAAGTGGCTTTTCTATTGAATCTAAAGAAGTTCCCAACCAAAAGAATTCTTTGAGATGAAGAGTAATAAGTTAAAAAGTCAAAGAAGTTTGATGTTGCTTGTATAAACATTAGTGCTCTTCAGGCTTCCTATAAAAGTAACATTTTCACTTGCCAAGTCCAAAACGTGACACCCGGTTGTGAGACAGTCCTGAAAGCACATCCAAGGCATTTACTTGGAAATATTGGATGAATCTGCAGCAAAGAAGGTGGCGGAAGTACTGATGTCAGCGACTCCATGGCCTGCCACATCCAAGAGCCGAGTCTGTGCCAGGGACGACCAGCTCCCAGAGCACGCAACACTTTCAGAGTGCTTTTTGCGGCAGCTTGCTGAGTGCCGATGTTGCCAACGTGACAGCTCTTTTAGTTTTGTGAGGCTTAAACAAGATGATGCTACAAAGGGAAACCCCTTTTTCCAGCCGCCCAAAATCAACAAGCGAGTATCAGAGTTAAAATGCACCGTGGGCCACGTGGACCTTCTAGGCCCTTAAGACCGTGCTGTCCCGCAGCCACACACTCTTCTCATCAGCACACGGGCTGTTCTCTGGGTTGACTGTGTGTGAGGAGGCACGGAACTAAGAACAACCCCAGAGGTGGGAACTAGTGAGCACAGTTCCCTGAGCACAGTTATTGAATAAACTTAGACATTAACAAGAGGAGCTTCAGAACTTATACAAAAACATGGATATTAAGCAGCATTCTCTGGTAAGGCCAATGGAAATAAAGAGGAATTTTAAAAATTATTAAATAGGGATGAAATGCTCACCTATAAAACCTGTGGAATGCAACAGAAGTAGTTACTGTGATGGAAGTTTATGGCACCAAGCACGTCCTTGTGGGGGCTGGAGGTTAAATACGCTGTGTGGGGGTGAGACTCAAAGAACTAGGAAAGCAAGCACCAGTCGAACCCAAATTAGTAGAAGGAAAGAGATAAAGGTCAGAGAAGAAATACACAAAATAGAGGCTAAAAATATGATAGGGAAGAACAGAAAAAATACATATATATATATATATATATATATATATATATTAAAGATAAACAGAAAAAGACTGAAATGAAGTCAGAGGAGAAAAGGGAAAATTTGCATGTGCTACCACAAACTACCAAGAGTCTTTGGGAATATAATAAATAGCTGAATGCCAAAAATTGGAAAAACCTAAAAAAATAAAATTTCTGAACACATATAACCTACCAAAACCGAACCATGGTACTCAGAAAATGTAAACTGTTCAGTAGCAAGCAGTGAGATTTAATTGGTAATAAAAAGCATGCAGCTGAGTGATGGGCCCCTGTAATCCCAGCATTCAGGAGGCTGAGGCAGGAGGAACTCTGTGTTCAAGGATAGCTTGGGTGATAGTTCAAGGCCAACGTGAATTACATAGTAAGACCCTGTCTGAAAAACAAAACAAACAATCCAAAACACACCACCAGCTAAGATAAGGATCACAGAAGAGAAAAGCCAGGATTTTTATTGCTGAATTTTACCAAACTTTTAAAGAAGAAATAATGGCAGTTAGCTTCAAACTATTCAAACAATTAAAAGTGAAGGACTCTTTCTCCACAGTATGAGGCATGAGTTACCAGAATGCCAAAACCAGCCAACAAAATACACAGAAAAGAAAACTGCAGGCCAATATCTGTAATGAGCTGAAATGCAAAATCCTCGGGGAAGTTGAATCTAGCAGCAGATAAAAAGATTATATATCATTATCAAGCGGGATTTATCCCAGCCTTGTAAGGATGAATCAAAATATGCAACCTTATAAGTGTATTACATCAATAGAATACAAGATTTAAATCTATATGGTAATCTTAATAGAAAAACCATTCAGAAAAGTTCAGTTTCTCTTCATGATTAAAAACCCTCAATAAAAGCCAGCCAGTGCGGACTAAAGTGCCTGCTTTGGCAGGGCACAGTGGCTGGGGATCAATCGCTGGCGTGCGGTGCCAGCCCCGCCCCTGGGGTGTGCTGAGATGGCGATTGAAACTGGGCGTGGTGGCACGCACCTGTGATCCTAGTGCTTGGGAGGCTGAAAACAGGAGAATCACTATGAGTCTGATCCACATAGTGAGACCCTATAGACCCTGTATTAAATACATAAAAACTCTCAATATTGATATATCGAAAACTACTCATAAAAAATCAAAGCAAGAAAGAAAATTATTTAAACTCAATAAATGATGCAATATATGACAACCCACACCTTATGTCATGCTGGATAGAGATAATGTAAGCTTATTTTTTTCTAAGACCAGGAGCAAGTGAAGAATTCCACATTACCATTCTTATTCAAAATAGTATTGAAAGTCTTGACCGGAGCAATAAAATAAGACATAGTAAGGAGATCTAAGTAGGAAAGAAAGTCAGATTATCTGTGATCACAGATATCATGATTTTTATATGTCAAAAAATCTGAGACTTCACCAAAAATAAAAATGAAAAACAATGACAACAAAAACTAGTTAAAAGTGATGAATAAAGTCAAAATACAAAAATTAGTAGCTTTTTCCTCTGATACTGAGGATACACAAAAATGAACTTTTTCATTTTCAAGAATGAAAATGGTGAGAAAAAAGACAATAAAGCAATCCCTTACAAAGAGCTGTATTTTTAAAGAAGACTTTGGGAATAAATTTGACCAAGGAAGTGAATGCTCTCTGCTAAGAGAATTACAAAACCCTGATGACAATTAGAAGACACACACAAAAACAGACACTTCAAGGTCATGGATTGGAAGAATTAATACTGTTAAAATGTATACCACCCAACAGAATGTATAGATTTAATGTGATTCTTATTAAAATATTCATTACATTCATTACAGAAAAAAAAAAAAAACAACCTTTGTCAAATTTGAACCCCCAAAGACCCTGAGTAGCCTAAGGAACCCTGAACCAAAAGAACAAAGATGGAGACGTTATAACACCTACCCTCAAGAATACTCGAAGTGGACATGACAGTAGTCAAAACAGCATGATGTGTACAAATGTGCATATGCCAGTGGAACAGAGTGGAGAAACCAGAGATTAGTGTGTCTGTCCACAGCCTGTTTGATAAAGGTAGCAGGATCACATGTTGGACAGAGGAAAGTGTCTTCAAAAAGTGATGTTGCGAATATTGGGTGTCCGTGTGCAGAAGAAAAATTCTCACTACATTCAAAAATTTAATAAAAATAGTTAAAACTTAAATGTAAGACCTGCCAGTTATAAAATACTGAAAAGAACATAGGGTAGGGCTGGGGAGATGGCTCAGAAGAATAAGTGCTTGCCGGCAAGCACAGGGTCCTGAGTTCAATCCCCAGTACCCCTCCCCCCCAAAAAGAAAAAAAACATAGGGCAAAATGTTCAGGAAAATGGTCTGGACAAAAACCAATTCATATCCCTAAAAGTCCAGGGAACGTAAACAAGAACATAAATCGATTACTTGAAACAAAATGCTTCTGTACAGCAGAGAAAACAATCAACATGGGGAAGGACTACCTACAGAATGGGAGAAACTACGTGCAAGCTGTTCATCCAATGAGGGATTAATTTCCAAAATATATAAGGACTCAACTCTGCAGAAAATAATCTGATTAAAAATATGTGTATTGGGGGCCTGGCCCTAGCTCAGGCCTTTAAGTGGCTGCTTCCACAAAGCTGTCAGCCTCAGGTTGCTGGAGTTCGAACCTCACAACTCTCCCGTTGGACAAAAGTGCCCTGAAGGCATTCGAGGAACAAAAAAAAAAAAAAATCCTTATTCCATTTAATAAGCTTGTCTTCTGGATGGTTAACAACCTGAGTTTGCAGACCAAAATTAGAGAAAAAGGAGGGCTACAAGGAAAGCCAACATTTTGGCCCTAGCCTTCTAAGGTCAATTAAGACTCAGGACATATGAGAACTTGTACTGTAACGTCATGTACCTCGGAAGTGTCCCAGATTTTCTGATCAAGAAGATTATGGGGCCAAAGAGGAAAGTGATCGATGATGTAGAGTGTGCCTAAGGAGAGTCACATGGAGAGAAGACACTCTCTCAGGCTTTCACAGAGAGCACATTGGCCAAGCAATGGCCGTGACTCATCCACATGGCTGACACTGACAAAGGTTCTACAATCTGAGGTACAGGATCTCAGCATAAATCCTGAGGGCATTTCACTGACCTTCTCAGATCAAAAAGCTACAACTCTTGTTGCACAGGTCCTGCTTTACCTTGGTCTTAAGCATCCAGTAGAAAAGTATGAAGATGAAATATAGGAAGTAAAGCCATGTTGTTATGTTGAGCTGTGGGGGACTCAGGTCAATAATTTCTGACATTGCCAGTTAAACAGAAGACCCAATGCTATTATGGGCTACTGGTCTCTTTTAGAATATTTTGCTGAGTTTACACACCTATAATATTCGATAACAGAACTTAAAAAAATGGGATATAACTATGAATGTCCATTTTGTATCTGTGTATTCAAAGTGGTTGGGATAGATATATAGTTGCATTCTCTTAATGAATAGAATGATTTTTTCTAATGGTGTTTGTAAGTAGGATCACAAGTCTGCATCTTGTACAGCAATTAACCACTAAGAAGAATATATGCAGTGTGTTATTTGTTGAAACTGTACTTTCGATTTGATTTAAAACTGTCTCATTGCTATATGTTTATCAATAAAACTTTGAAAAGAAAAAAAATATGTGTATTACCTGAAACATTCGTAAAGAGGTTGTACGTGTGACCACAAGTGTGTGAAGACGTGCTAAGCATTCCTAGTCACTGGCTCGCCTGTGCCGAGCGCTCGTGCCGTGCCGCTCCGCCCTGGAGCCTGCCAGGTGGACAGGGAACCTCTACATACTGTGACCCAAAATAAACTTCTCTTTCAGTCGTGGGTGTTGGGTCTTTTGTCCCAGCAATGAGGAAAAGCAGAAGGACACCAAAATATGTAATTAGCCTATTTGTTTAATAGATGAATGGACAGAGAAATTATGGTCTGTGCTGTTATCTTTGTAACTGTCTTATTTTGAATGATCTGGCTTGTAACTGAGGTGGTTGGCACTGAAAAATACTGATCTTGGTTGGTCGCTGAGGAGTACTGTGCCAGAGGATTACTGAGATAGAAGGAAAACATTTGGAAAGCTTTGCATTTGTATAGTATTTTGCACATATAAGCTCTTTTTACATATTGCCAAAATGAAATTTCACTCTAATTCATTGTATATTTAATAGATAACAAAATAGAGGTAAAACATGATAAATACATTAGGCATCATTCACAGGAAGCTGAGTCAAGACTTGAACCTAAGCTGTTAACTCCTAGTCAGTGTACCTTTTACTGCATCATGGAAATAAAACTAAAAGAGACATCTTTTTTTAAAAAATGTATTTGGTACAGGTTCTTACTGTGCAGCTCGGACTCATAGTGATCCTCCTGTTTTCTGCCTC